GTACCCGAAATGACTCACCTCTCCTTTGGCCTGTTCTGCCTCCCTCATCTGTTTCTCCCAATTTCCTTGTGCTCTTTGCTACTGCTTATGCAAGCCGTTCTCTCTGGGTGTCAAGGAACCCCATGGCACGGGTTCCTTTTACTTACTTGATACCATTAAATTTCAGGACAGCCCTCATATCCTTGGGAAGTGTTTCTGGGTCCGGCCACTCAAAATGGTCTGTAACAGGTACAATGTTCTTTCCAGAGTTCAAGGCTGTCACAATCTCCTGCAGGAACATGCATGTGCTCAGGCTATGGCCCATGTCAGCCCATCACCAGCCCCGTCCTGCCCCAACATCCACCGAGCTCCCGCCTGATGGCATCTCCTACCTTGTGCACCCAGTCCTTGCACTCGGGGTCTGCCATGCATTTATCCAGTGCGTTTGGCGAGAGGACCAGCACAAAATTACGGGCACTCATGACGCTCTGGATCAGCTTGTCCTCAAACTTCCCTGCCTCCAGCTTCTCCACGTCGATGAACACGCTGAAGCCGTGCAGCTGCAGGTGGACCTTCAGCAGGCTGGTGGCAAGAGGGGGACAGCACCGTGAGGAGAGCTACTGCCAGCGCCGGGGTTTCACGCGCTCTCCCACCACGTTGGCCAAGACATGGTGAGACAGAGGAGCAGCGACCACCGAGAACAGCCTGGTCCTTGAGATGCCAGCTGCCAGCCCAGCCTGCTCACAGGCGTCTGGGCCCACGCAGAAAACACCGGGAGCAGGACATGAACTCCCTGCTGTGATTCCCTACGAGCGCAGCGGGAAAAAGGGTAAGTCAGTGTCAAAGAGGGACAGGGTGGCAGTGGCAAGACTGGGAATTACCCTGTCCACCATGCAGCTTATGGCACAAACTGTCCCCATTTGCACTGAAGCTTTCGGCAGCTTCTCCCTCCTCCCTGCTGCAGCCTGCAGCTCTGCTGGCTCCACGCTCTTCTCACACCAGCCTTCACTCTGGGCTTCAGCCCGGCACCGTAAGGTTGCCTGCAGGACTCACCTGGCCAGCTGCGACCCGGTGCTCCTCCGGTAGCTGATAAAAACATCGGTCCCATCAGACGTAGTTTGCAGCGTTATAGGGGAGTGAAGCATTTCTAGGCAGAGCAAACGGCAACCAAAAGTTAAAAACACCCAACAACTCATCCCAAACAACCCTCGATACTCGCCCCCACCCGCACAGCGAGCAGCGGCGGGACCCGCACCCCTTGCAGCAGTGAGGATGCGGACGCGGTGGAAGCCCGTGTTGATGTGGCAGTCCTCCTGCAGCTGCTGCTCCGTCACCCGGTGCAAGAAGTTGCGGTTGATGCCGCACGTCAGCAGGTTGTACGTGTACTGGCGAAACTTGGGGTCGATGCTGCCCAGCCAGTCGGCCAGGTTGCTGCGGTCGCAGGTGGAATAGTTTGCGAAGGTCTTCAGCTCTGTCAGCTCCCGGAAAAACCTGGCAGAGAAACAAATGAGAATGTGGAGTGTGGAGGGGAGGCTGCTGGACCAGACAGGATCTAGAGACGTTTGGTACCACATCTTTTATCTGCCAAGGAGAGAGCGCAGCTACATGCCATGGTGAAGAATGAGCTCAAGAAATAGAGAGATGAAGAGCTGTGGGAGTGTTGGTCCTCAGGCTATGGAGGTATGAGGAGCTCAGCTAAGCAAGGAGAAGCTCGGGTAAGTTCCCATCTTTCTGAGTAACTTGCAGGATCCCACCTGCCCTGCACCATAGGTGGTCTCTCCCCATCCCCCAGCTCTCCCATGCATGGGCCCCATTGCAGGAATCCCTCTGGGACTGCACTCTGCTCTGGAAAAGCCCTGGCAGTCCAGGTTTCCCATTTTGAGGATCTCTGTTCTTGCCTTGGCAAGAAGGGTACGGCACAGACCTTTGCCCTGGCTCTGCCACCACGATGATGACCATGAGAGAGACCAGCCTGCCCTGGTAACACTCCTGGGGTGAGGTGGTCCTACCTCTTCCGAGTGATGCTGGAGTCCATCCCCAAATCCTCCTGCAGCTCCTCCTCCGTCAGTCTCAGGAGAATGTCCCCATCTACCTGGTGGTCCTGCCAAGAGAAATTCTGGCTGGAAAGGTCCCAGGAAAAGCTGTTGGGTGAGATGCTTGCACCTCTGCTGCAAGATGGGGAAAAAAAGCCCATCCAGGTGTCCCTCCCCCAGCATGCAGCCCTACCAGGAATCTCTGGCAATATTTGTTGAATCCAATCTGCTGCAGCCACGTCTGCACCTCGCAGGGCTTCCAGTTGGGAACCGTGGGTAGGATGCGCCGAGGAACCTCCTCCCCTATCATGCGCAGCACCTTTTTGGCCAGGGATGAGGTGGTGCTGCTGGTGGAGTAGCACACTACCCTCTTCAGGCTCTGCGTAGCCCCAATCTCACTGAAAATCTGGGGACAAAAAGGGAGGAGACATCATTTTGCTTTCCCTCCTCCTCCTCCCCACAACCTGTGCCGGGCCAGCCAAAGACCAGGGTGAGCTCGGAGGGGAGCAAAGGACACCAAGATGCAGTCGTGGCACCCCTTCCCTTTTGCGTCTCTTTCCTTCAGGCCAACCTACCCTTTACCTTTGTTTTCTTCTGCCTGGTTTTGATGGCAGCCTCCGTGCAGAGGTAGAAGGCAGCGATGCACTGCGCTTCCAGCCGCGAGCTGTCCAGCAAAGGTACCAGCCGCTGCAGGTCATCCGCCGTCCTCCCTTGGCTGTTGTCGCTGCTGCCCAACATCTCACAGGCAAACCGCTCCGGATCCAGCGAGGCGATGAACGGCTCCACCAGAGCCAGCGTCCCCGAGCGCTCCACCTCCTTCTCGATTTCTTTGTTGGTGGCCAGCACCGTGATGGCCAGGCACGCGTGCAGGCGGATTAGTTCATCGTCCCTTGAGAATACCAGCGGGAAAAGCCACTCCGCTGTCCTCTTCTCGATCATCAGGCGCTGGTTGGCCTGCCCTCCGTACATGGCACAGTTGGCCAAGGCCATGGCGCAGTGCCGCAGCACGATGGGGTCCGTCCAGCGGCACCAGTAGAGGATCGCATCCAGGCCTCCATCAGAGATGAGCTGGAAGCAGGTCTCCTCAGTGTGTTTGAACATGTGCTCCAGGATACCAGAGACGCTCTGCGCCAGCTGGGGAACGTCCCGCTCTTTGGCTAAGTTCAGAATCACTCCCAGACCGATCCGAGCGATCCGATCCCTGCAGGAAGGAGAGGCACAGGCAGGTGAGTGGCAGACAGCCGTGCAGGGAGTGACAACAGGGACTGGCGTGGGAACTCCCCCGTGCTTCGGTGGTGTTTGCCCCATGACAGCCAGATGTTTCCCAGTGGGACACGGCTGCCAGATATGCTGCCAGGCTGCGGTGCAGCGAGATGCGACAGGCTGCTGTTGGAAGAACCTGTCTGGGTCTGATGGAAGAGCTTGTGACGGCACAGGGTGTGGGGTGTATAGCCCAGGACCACCATGCCAGAGGCTCTCGTGCTCGAGGTAAGACATATATAGCAATTAACAGCGCAGGGTAGGCTAACGCCAGGCTAGAAATAGATGTGCTTAGTCAGCTTTCTTGGGGGTGTGTGAGCTGCTTCATGTTCAGGGGTGAAAACTCCTTTGTCCCTAACCCGTGCCATCCTCTGGCTGCTCTCCAGACCGGTGCCAAGCCCAGGAGCCCAGGACAGGGGTTTCACACCTAGCTGAGCAACCACACACAACTTCCCACAGGGACGTGCGAGGGACGGGGATCTGCCCGTCCTGGGATGGTAACGTGGAGGCAGCTTGGAGGAAAGCTGTTTATTTCCACAATCCTGTGCTCTCCTAGAAGAGGACAGCAAGAGCTGGGGAAGAGGTGGCCAAGGGCCACCAGCTGCTGCTCAGCTACAGCTGGCCTTGGGAGCCCCATGCTGTGAGGACGGTCTCAAAATGACACCGGAATGGGGCTGTGCCCTAAAAGCATAAAGTGAGGAAGGGGGAAATGATGGGTTCTCGGCTCCCCTCACGTGAGCTTGCCTGGGGTGAGGGGGGCAGCTCCATCTCTGGCCTTAAAAACGACCCGTTTTGTGCGGTGATGGGGCTGCTCTGTTCACAAGGCTCATGCGCTGGGGCGGATGCCCCGTGCTGTGCTGCCCAGGAGGGCAGTGATGCGTTTGGCCCCCAGAGATGGCAGGGTGAAGGCACGCTGTCCTCTCCATGCTGGGAGGCAGGAAGAGCATTTCTGGGAAGCCCGTGGCTCGCATGGCTCATGTTGACCTTGGGGTGGGTTTGGCAGCAAACACTGTGGAGAGCTCTGGAAAAAAAATATCCCTCAGTCTGGGACTGGCTCCAAGCCCAGACTCAGTCACGGAGCTGGATGACAACCACAGCCCTGACAGGTCCCCGACTCCCTGGAGACGTGGGATGGAGCCAGGACGGGTCCAGCTCCCAGCTAAGCACCGCTACTGCTGCGCACGGATGCTGGGAGAGATGTCTAAACCAGAGGCTTGGACCCAGGGCGGGGAGACCCTACACCTCCCTGCCATTGCTTGGATGTTGATGGTGGGTCAGGCTGCGGGGAGCAGGGGGCTGGGGGCCCGCGGCTGCTGCGAGAGCCTGGCCCGTGAAGGGCTCCTGGAGCAGAGAAGGAGACTCCAGCAGCTGCTTTCCCTTGCCAGGAAGCGAAGCGCTGCATTCAGACCGTGCCAGTGATGTTTCCTGGGATTAATTCCACTCTAATGGACTTTCCTGATTTAGCCATTGCCTCTTTTTTGCCCGCCAGTGTGTGCAGCCAGGCCCAGCCTTCAAGTCCACGACCTTAGAGCAAGACACATCACCCATGAAGCTGGAGGAAGACCATAAACCTTGGCCAGGCTTCCTCAACACCCGCCCAGAGCCAGCTGGGCTTGGGCACAGCGAGGGACAGCGGAGCTGGCAGAGCCACGTGTTTGCTAACGGGGTGCCAGCAGAGAAAGGGCCTGATCCTGACCCAACTTGCCACAAGTACATGGCTGCCGGGACATGCCCAACCAGACGCGGGGCAGAGCGGAGCGCTCGCCCATCGGGGGAAGTTGCGGCAGTGCGTCCGTGGTGTTTGAAGGGTGTACCTGCGCGCAGGCGCTGCATCAACGCTGTTGTGCATTTAGGTGTGTCGGGGGCCGCGTGTGCACATGCACCCACATGCGTGTGCCCCGTATACACACGCACACGCTCCCACCCCACCTGTGAGGATGCTTTGGCAGAACCAGCCCCATGCCTCTCACCTCTCCTGGGGTGCAGCACACGCGTCTCCAGCTAGGGACCATGGGCTGGGGGGCTCGGAGGGCTGCTGACCAGCTGGCCCCCTCCTTATGGCCACACTCCAGCCCTGATCAGCAGCAGAAAGTCTCTGGGAACCGGTTTCATCCTCCTCCTGCTGCAGTTATGGCTAAAGGGGAGTCCTGTCTCATCCTTGGGGTCAGACGCTCTGGGGCAGCCAAACTGACACACCTCAAGCACGAAAGGTGTCTTGTCTGGGTGGCCCCAGGCTGAGGGTGGCTCATGAGGACACCCCGATCCTCACCAGCATCCCGTAAGCTGGGGCTGCTCCTTCTCCTTCCAGCCATGGGGTGGGGGAAGCAGGTCGTGCCATTGCCTGGGTGTGACCAGCAAGTCAGGGACCTCTCTGTGGCAGGGCCGGGGGTGGGGGGATGCGGTGTGGAGCTGAGGGGGTTTGATGCACCGGGAGCACGCAGAGCAGGGAAATTTGGGGGGTGGGGGAGGCTGGGATGGGTGGAAGAAA